TTATTATCAATATTTCCAGACTAGTACCTACCATTAAGTTGGCCATTTTCTTGGGGTTTTTTTGTTGTTGTTGTTGTTCTTTTATTTCTACTTGTTTCTTTTTAGTTTTGCTGGTATAGCACTCTCTTCAGAATTTCCTGAAGAGTTGGTCTGGTGTTGGTAAATTCTTTCGGGTTTTGTTTATCTGAGAATGTTTTTATCTTTTCTTTCCGTATGAAAGATAATCTTGCCAGGTAGAGTATTCTTGGTTGAAATTGGTTTTACTTAACACTTTGAATATGTTTTCCCATTCTTTATTGCTTACATTGTTTCCAGTGAGAGATCTAATGTTTAGCCTGATGGAGTAACTTTTGTAACAAACTTGACATTTCTCTTTTGCCAATTTTTATATCTTATGCGTAGTTTTGGCCATTCTAGCTATGATGTGCCTTGTAGAAGATCTTCTTGGTTTGATTCTACTTGTGGTCCTTTGTATTTATTACATCTGGATGTTTAAATGGTTTTCTAGAGTTGGAAAGGTTTCTTTCAGGATTTCATGGAATAAATGATCAATGTTCTTATTAGTTTCTTCACTTTCTGGGATACCAATTATTTAGATATTTGGGTGTTTAATAATATCTAGTATTTCTCATGTATTGTCCTTTTTTTGGTTAATTTTCTTAGGTCAGAGGTTCTGTCTTCTACATCTGAGATTTGATCTTCAGCATGATCTAATCTGCTTTTAATACTTTTGAGGGTAGTTTCAATTTCCTGTATTATAGCCTTCATGTCTAACAGTTCCATTTGATTCTTCCTTATGGTGTCCATTTCTTCTTTCAAATCATAGAAGGACTCCCTCATCTCCTGGAGCTCATTGTGACTTTTCTCTTGTATCTCATTTAGTTTGGTCACTGCAAATATTCTGAACTGTTTATCTGACATTTCCACGAGTTCCATTGCACTGTCTGTGGGTGGCAAGGTTGCTCATTTCCCTCAAGAGAGAGATTTTCTTGGTTTCTCATACTTCTTGTGCTGGTTCGTGGTCATCTGGTGGAGTATACATTTCTTCTCAATCTTTTGGAGCTCATTCTGTAACGTCAAGGGGAAAGATGTGTCCTATTTCCCTGGCATGTTCTTCAAAGAGGGCCTTATGTCCCCATCAGAGAGTGATGTGTGTCGCTGGCTCGTGGTGCTTGGTTCTTCCCAAGTCTCAGGTCCAGGTGCCCCTGGGGATAAGCTGGAGGAAGAGAGTCAACTCACATGACGCACGAGCACATGCGTGTGTCCACTCTACGATCATCTCACGTGACGCACGAGGACATGCATGTGTCCACTCTACAGTGGAGACTGAACCATTAGAGGATGTAGAGACGTGGAAACGGTTGTGGGTACTGGAGACAGTGTGGGGAGAGGTCAAGAAGGGGGAGAGTGTGAGGAAAGAACGTAAGGAGAAAAATGGAGAGGCCAAACATTTATGGAACACAGAAATGGGTTCTTATCTTTTGATAACATGTGTAGTATCCGCAACTGGACAGGTGTGACGTTTATTCATGTTGGGTAAATTCACTTTATAAGCTAAATGATGTATAATGATTAAACATATAAAATAAATTAAAAGAAAAAGAAAACAGTTTGGAGCCCATGCTTCAAAAATATCCATGCATACTGTGAAAGATTATTTTCAAAAATATCACACTTCATGCTAAGTGTTAGCAAACTGTGACCCACAGGCCAAATCGGACCCCCGTCTGCTTTGTAAGTAAAGTTTTATTGGAACACAGCCATGCCTGCACCCAGCTCGTTGTCTCCAGCGCCTTTTAACTTGCTTCGTTGAGCAGTTGTGACAAAACTGTGCCTCACAGGACCCAAGGCAGTTACTGTTTGGCCCTTAACAGGAATGCTGGCCCACACCTGTCCTGGGCACTGTGCGCCCCGGCCCTAAGCAGGTGCCCTGGGCTCCCTGGTCTCTGTGCACGTCTGTGTGTGAACGCCCTCTCAGACGTGAACATTGTCTCGGCCCAAGAATGAGCCCGTTGTTCCGTGCCGTGACTTCACTGCTAACACTCAGATTGTGTCAGGGTTCTGTCACTCTGGCCAATGCTGTAATAAATATGGATGTTTATGGTACAGTGGACCCCAGTGCTCTCCAGAGCCCCAGCCCTGACCTCCACCATGACGCTCCCATAGTGTGGAGAAACAGCCAGACAGCCGGTCCCTAGGGGACACCCACGTGCTGGAGAGAAGGTGTCTCACAGGGAGATCGCACCTCGTGACTCATCCACACTCCTGGCTTTCTGCTGTGCTGCCTCCCCGGCCTGCTCCCGTCCACCAGCCCCACCTCCTACCCCTGCTAAGCCTCTCTTACAACACAGGCGAGGCCGGGTACCGCCCCTATACCCGGACAGTGTCAGAGCTAGAGGTGCCACATGACAGGACAGAGGAGCTGAGCTGGGGGAGGAAGGCTGTGATCCCAGAAATGGAAGGAATATACCCAGGTCGGTTGGTTCTAGTCCTTTTGGAGTTAACGACTCTCAAAAGCTATAGATCTTCTCCCCAGAGCAATGTCTGTATTTCTGTGTGGATTCTGCAAAATCCGGGTCAGATTTCCTGCAGATGCAACCCTCGGCCCAGCCCCTAGGTTAATATTCTGGCACACAGAGGTCCCCTTCCTTCCTGAGGCTCGTCCGGCCCTGTCAGCAGTTTAAGGTGCAGATGTTTCTCTGCGATGATTAACACTTCCCCTCCTGGCCTGGTGCTATCCCAAAGGTCTTCCTTGGGCTGCAGCCACAGCCCGGTCCTTCCTCCAGCTTATCCTGTTTAGGAAGATAATCTCACTCCCCAGCCCTCAGACCACTCACAGGCCCAGGATACAGGCAGCCTCACCAGTGACACCACTTCCTGCTCCCACTCACACCCTGACCTGCTTCCCTGGTCTTTGGCACCAGAAGGAACCTAACCCTTGAGCCCTTTGCCATCGTAACAGTATTCTGGAGCCTTCTGGAAAGCTGCAAGTCTTGACAAACGAGGGGCCTTTCTGGCCCCTGCACATACAACTGTAGCAAACTCAGCAACAAGCTCCGAGGCTGAAGCCAATTCCCTGGGGGCTCTCCTTTGGTGTCTGTGAGGACCACAGTATGGCTCGGGGACACAGGCCAGTCCCTTCTTGGTCGAAATGTCAATTTATCTTGATTTTAATTTCAGTGTTGTAAAGCCGTGCTCTTCTTCGCTATGCACAAAGATGAGTACACTGAGCTCTACTTTAATGCCTCTTTGAGCTGTTCTGCCCATTTACCCCATCATTTCCTGTCCAGACCCTACCCTGACACGGCAGTAAAGATGTAAGAGATTACTTTGAGAGATGCCGCCTTTGTTATTGAAACATCGAGTGAAGTCCAAGGACAGGGTGCAGTGCAGCGCTAGGGTGTGATCACAAGTCCACTAAAGAGGGTGCCATGAAGGCATTGTGAGGTATGAAGAGGTGCACTCACGCACTTCCCAGCGTTCCTGTGAGTGTGCAATTTCTTATTAAAAGGAAATGTAAAGCTTACTCTGCGTAGTGGGAAGAGCAGAGGCTCCAGAACCAAATCATCAAGATTCACATTGCGACAGCACTCCGTGAGCGCAAGCATGCCAGGCCTCGGGCGCAGGGAAGGGAGGTCATGACCACATGGGTTTGATCCCTGGGCCACCCTGAAATGCAGGGGTGGGTGCCTGTGGTCCCAGCCATCTGGGAGGCTGGAGCAGGTGGGTCGCATCATGGAGACCCTGTCTGCAACAGCAGCAACGGCCCGCAGCCCCGAGCTGGAGCCCCCGTGAGAGTCCTCTGATAAGGGATGGAATGTCCATGCAGCTTGGTGGGTGATAATTAGCAGCTCTCTTGGCCCGTCTTCCATGCAACCAACGCCTGCTGGGCAGGACATGGCCCTGCAGCCTGCATGCCCAGCAATCCCTGGCTGTAGTCCTCAGTTGTTCAGACCAACCTTCCCCTGCACGGGGTCCTGCAGGACCCTGATAGCCTCAGGCAAACAGCCGAGAGGTGCTGGTAGGACCCAGCCTCCTTACTTTGCACCCACGTGGAGGCATCAACAATGAAACACTAGCCAGTCACTCCCAGGCAGGGTAGAGCCCATACCCACTGCTCATCCACTGCTGCAAGCCCACTTCTGACCTTCACTGCAGATGAGCAAATGTTTGCTATTTCCCAAAATATCACCCCAGTTTCAGCCAGCCTGGGTCTCAGCACATGTCCCCTGGTGTGATTAGGGAGGTGAGTCCTGGGATCTTCCCAGGTGGGGACAGCCGGGTTACCATATAACCACCTCCTGACCCCTGGAGCGAGGCTCTTCTGGTGTGAGGCTAGCACCCTCTGAGAGCAGGTGCCTGGTTAGAAAGGCACCAGCCCAACAGGTAACTCAAATGACACACATGATGGCTCACTAACAAGTTAGTCCCTGGAGCCTCTCAACCACCATGAGGTTATTAACCCTGCTGCAACCCCGCTGCAACCCTGCTGCAGCCTTCCACACATCTGCTTCCTGCACCACTCCCTTACGACATCAGACAGTTCTTTTCTCTGAAGGTTTAGACAATTCTGAACTGTTTTTATTTACATATTTTTAATTGCCAGACAGTACAAGCACTTGCCAGAGAGACAGAGAGTGGGAAAAGCGCCCCCACAGGGTGTGGTCAGGGCGAGGTCCTCTCCTCCGCCCTCCGCAGGCAGGTCTTCCAATGTGCACTGGGCGTGATTTCTAGCCTCTGGGGCTGGGATTTGACCCATAGTCAGCCATATGGCATCCAGCTCCCTTTAACCACTAGGCTACAAGACCAGCCCTGAACATATTTCTCATCATCTTGGAATTCTGAGACAAGCCACAAGAACCGGCCATCGAATTTCCTTGGGGCCGTTGCCCAGTGCCCTTTGAGACTGCCGGCTCTTCACGCTGAGGAATGGACAGACATTTGCTGTAAGCGTTCCTGTGCACAGACATGTTCTCTGTGAAAGTTAACATTGCTCTTACCTTTCAACCCGGTAATTCACATCCTGAATTCTGCTCTGAGCAGTCTGTCCAGTGCCCAGTATGCAGCCACTGGTGTGTGGCTGTGTTTACAAAATACCTCCAGGGTTTTGAAGAGAGGCCATGAGAAAAACAGTGAGCTGAGATGGCTTGATACAAGAGAAGTGTCTTAATTTGCCTTGCTTTATAGGTTAACCTTCCCAGCCTTTTCTGAAGTGTGGCCAGGTTGGATGGGGAAGACTGGATGGTAAGAGGTCTCCCGCCAGGACTGAGGAGAGCGTCTGCACTGACCTGAGGCTCCTAGTCCGAGAGCATGGCCTCCCCTCCCCACCAGTCAGGGATCCCTCAGGAGGCTTGCCTTGGTATCTGAGAGCTCTTGGTTCAGGGAAGTTTATCAGAAACATTAAACCAGAAACTATTCGGCTCAGGTAACAGAATTAATTAACATTCCTCTCATTCTGCAAGCAACTGATGGGCGCGCCCCCATCCAGGACTTGCTGGCCTGGCACTCCTAGAGCTGCGGCTTGCTCGGAATTTCTGAAAGCCCGCAAGTCCTGCTCCTGGGTTCCCGGCGCCTTCCCAGGGGCCCAGGACAACCGTCCCCTTTGTTCTCATGAAGCAGGCCCCCTGTGTGCCCCACTGGCTTTCAGCTTTGTATTTTCAGGTTGGGGCCGATGGACTGACACCTGCCTGCCACGCACTCCACGCTGGCGCACAGGGAAGGGCAGGGCTAGCTCTCGGATGACCTGCACACGTGGGTGATGCTGGAAGGCTCCGGGAAGTACGGCTGGAGACCCTATGGAGGCTGTAGCCCTGCTCAGGAAGGAGAAAGCTTCAAAAGGAACAAGATAATGGAAATACTCACAGGAAGAACACTCATGGTGACTTCTCTGTGGCTGGTGCTGGGCTGAGCAATGGCCTCCACAAAATGGGCGAGAGCTGGCCCTCTCGCTGCCCCCGTGGGTCCGTGGGCTGGCGCAGCTCCCTGCCCACCACCACCAAGCCATCGAGAAGCACGGGCTGTTCTATCGAGGGCAGGCAGAGTTGGGTGGGCAGGCGGAGTTGGGCATGCGGGCTGAGACAACAGTGTAGACCCCGTAGCCACGGCTCAGAAGCCACTGTCCACTGCCCCCTCTGACCCCCTAGTCCTTCCTGTCCTTCTCGGTCTGCGTCCTTGATGTTCTGGCACTGCTAAGAACTGGCTCGCCAGCCCGCAGGGCATCTCAGATTAAGGAAGCCAGGTTAGCCCTCAGAGCCCAGTGACTTGGCCTGAAGCACTTCCCTTACGGGGAGGGTTCTCAGCAAACCCCTGCCACTGCTTTACCTGGAACACTTTGTCTTTGCACAGCAAGAATGGGACTCAGAGGTTGCCCTGCCCCTCACGCCAGATTCCATTCAGGAGCCCCAGAGCAGCTGTGGCTCCCCCTGCAGTGCCCAAGGCTCCCCAGTAGAGTCCCCAGTAAGCCTGTGCTCTTTACTCAGAGCACCCCTGCTTGGGACCTGTGGTTTCCCTAAGCCACAGGGCCTCGCCCACTACACTCGCCCCAGCTCGGAAGCTCTGTGTCTCCCTCCGGGGGACCACCATGCTCTCCTGAACCCACACACTCCCTTGCCTCTGAGCTCTGGGGGCCAAATGCATTTCAGACCTGATTGGGCACAAGCAGGTGAAGAAGGCTGTTTCTCAGGTTCTGTTTATCTCTCTGACCCTGCAGGGGCTCAGGCAGGCTGAGCGGCCACTGGACGGTCCAATCTGGACTCCGTCCCTCCCACTCCCTGGAGAGAACAGAGGTTCCCATGGCTACTCTTGTTTGTTGGCTAATGTTTCAAGTGAGGGTTGGATTGCGGCTGAATAGAATTAGTGAATTCCCTTCTCTCCACCAGCTGGCTCTAAGTGGCCCCAGTCCCTTCACTACCCTGATCTCTAGCGCAAGTTCGGCCTTGCCCAGCACGGTTAGGAACACGCTTCTGCTACCTGCCCGTTTCTTGTCCAGAAGTGAGCTGGGTGGTTTGTATTTTCAGTGTCAGCTTTAGGCAGCATGAGGGAGCCAGGCAGGTCCCCCCATACCCCACGCCCCTTTGTACAGGGACACAAATTCTCTGTGCCGAGAGCCCAGAGTGGTGTTAGAAGGACCCTTGAGCTGGAGTGCAGGTGAGTCACAGCACTCCCAGGATCACGGGGCCTCTGTCCCTTCTCCGTGGCCTGGGGATGCATAGCAACTCCTCTTCCGAAGGTGGTGGGGTGACCGAGGCCAAGACCAGGGTGTGTCCACTTACACACCCCGTGCTGTTATTACTGCTGGTCAGGACCCGAGGGAGCATGACACGACACAGTAACGGGACAGAACTTGGAGACCCGTCTTTCGAACTCTACTCCTCAAGGCCCCCACGGACCCGACCAAAATGGAGTCACCCTGCTAAAATGTCACAGCACCAACTGAGCCCTGGAGGGGTCGAGGCCCCAAACTGACCAACTTTTCCTGGGAACAGGAGATTGCAGTCCCAGCTCACGAGTCAGGGCTGCAGGAAATGAAACCTGGGTGTACCGAGCCCTCAGGGACGTGCCTGGACAGCCCAGCTTGCCTGTTCTCTGGGTCGCGAGCCAAAATCAGATTGCATGTGACATCTTCTAATTTGTAAGTTCTGACAATGAACAAAAAAACATCATTAAACCTGGGCTGGGCAGAACCAAACGGGCTATGTCTCGGTATAGCCGGGCCTCGGGACACACAGGGTCACTTCGCCCTGCCCCACAGGGTGAGTGGGCACAGCACACCAGGCCTCGGATAAGGATGGATAGGCACAGCACACTGGCCTCAGGACGCACAGGGTCACTCTGCCCTGCCCCACAGGGTGGGTGGGTGGGCACGGCCCCCCGCAGCCCCTCCTCCACCTGTCGAATCTCAGGCACCTGTCCCTGTACCCAGAGCGCTCCAGGCTGCCTGGGCTGAGGATTGACTCATGGTCACCAAGAAGGTCCCAGCTTCTCCTGAGCAGGGCCTCAGAGCTGACCCCAACTTTTCTTTTTCTTTCTTTTTCTCTTTCTTTTTTAATTGTCCACAGAGGAGGAGCATTCAGGGGTCAGCAGCTGGAACTCAGATGGACAGGCAGCGCCTAGCCCAGAGACAAGAGTCTCCCAAAACAGGAAAGCTTCCTGCTAGGGTAGGAGCAGCCAACATCCGGCCAGCCCACAGCACGGCTGTTCAGACAACTGCATCCCACGTGCCTACTCCATAGTTCGAGTCCCAGACGGAGCAGCTTGAGAAACATGTCAGCTGCGCATCCGTGTGTGCCCAAGCCCATCTCGGAGGCAACGGAGAAGGGGAGGCGGCGTGTCCTCACCCTCTCTCTCTCCAGCTGCACACGTGCTCTGGAATAACCTCATAAAGAGGTAGGGTACCAGCTCAGGGGTGAGGCCTGAGGGTCAGTGCTTCCCAGCGGTCATTCTCTGGGTCACGGACAGGACCAATCAGCAGACTGCAGAGCTCAGAGACCAAATGGAAGTCTTTTTTTTTAATCATTCCCCGTGACCCACTTAAACAATCTGTGCTCCTCACCTCACCGCAGCGGGCTGTTAGTTCCTGATGTGGATGTGGGGCAGGGACACTTGTACCAGGACCGAGTAAGAGCTACACCAAACCTAGACTACGGTGGGCACCTGGTCGTCTAGGGTAGGTCGTGGCCAGAAAGCCAGCAGGTGACGGCAGCTACTGCACAGCAAGCTCACTGACCAGAAGCCACACCTCATCCCTGTGGGGGACGTCCATGCAGAACGGGCAGAACCACAGAGGCACCCCCAGGCCTTCCACGTGCAGGGACGACTGTGCGTGGAACACGACCGTGGCAGCTGGCCCGCCTCAGGTCCCTGGGGACGCAGGCCCAGCTGCCCCATGTGGGACAAGCAGCCAGAACGCCAGGAGTGCTAATGAAGTTGAAGGGACCCCACTAGGGCCACGCTGACCAAAGCTGGTCCCAGAGCCTAGCATGGGAGTGCGTTCTGCCATTTCCGTGCTCAGACTTGGTCTACTTCAGAGACGGTACAGTTGGCTGTGTCCCTGCAGAGCACAGCGAGCTGAGGGGCAGGTCTGGGAGGCACCGGAACAGGCACCTCGGCCACCTGCCCGGGTCCCTCCAGCCTTATCATTACAGCGCATTCCTTTCTGTTTTTGTTTTGCATTTATTGATTTCTATGAGCTAGAAGGACGTAGGGAGACTCAGAAAAGGAGAGATTCGCTACCTCATTGGGGCCGCCATACTGAGATTCACTCCTAGCCCCACCCAGCCCGACTCAGGGAAGTCTCCAGACACAAGCCAGACCCTCCTCGGGCGGCCGCGCCTCACGTGACCCTGCTGAGCCAGGCGCACGTTCGTCTGGGCATTCTGGGGGCCCAAGTGTGGCTCTCACGCACACGGAAGGCTAGCAGGGTGGGAACGGGCCTTTGCAGGGCCCAGACCCTACCCCAGAGGGCTGGCTGGCAGAGCTCCTTAATCAGATGCAGCTCAGTGCCACAGGGGTAATTCCCATGACCACACCTTTTACTGGTTTCTTTCCTTCCCTTAGCTCACGGCCTCGCTCTGAGGAGAACAGTTCGTCACCTCCTAAATCACCTCCTGGTTGTGGATCTGCTCCTGGGGAACCCAGACCAAGACCCTCTGTTTCTCCCCATTTAATGCTCTGTGGGTGACCCTGCTGCTCGCTAAGTAAGGCCCGGAGGGAGCGAAAGAAGGGAGGTCCCTCAGGCGGTGGCCATGCAGCAGTGTCACCCACAGTGGACCCATAGCAGCTGGGGGTCTGTGCCTGTGACCGAGCGGAGGCTGCCCTGGGGACAGAGGGAGTTGGGGACAGTCCGAAGCCCTGGAAGTGAAGAGCCTGGCGTGCTCTGTCCCCAGAATGAGGCTGCTTTTCTTAGCGAGGTCGGGGCGGAGAGCTGCTCTGCTCAGATAGTGACAAGTCAAAGGCTGTGGCGGACCACAGGTTGATGGCGGCTGGTTTCAGACATTCCGAGACACCGGGACCTGCAGGGACTGCGCTGTGATGGTCACTGCCCCTTAAGTACGACTGACTCTCCTCACCCTTAGCTGAAAGTGCATTAGACACGACAGGGTCAGCACGTGGCATAGTGGCTAAGGCGCTGAACTCCCACGTGGCCAGTTGCCATTCAAGTCCTGGCCCCAGAGGCTTGAAAATCACATTGGGCACGTGTGCGTGCATGCCCAAAATCCCAGGAGGAGAATGGAGAAGGAATTGTGGTGTGGCCATCCCCTGGGGGTGATTTCTCACTTCCTATCTGTCTCCCTCCAGCAAGTACACACACCCTGTGGCAAAAATTAAGTCAAAACACACACGTGAAATGTTTAATGATGGCTTCAGATGACAGCAGTGTGGGAAGAGGAGAGAGGAGAGAGGAAAGTGCCA